AACCTTTACAGCATATTCATTTTGGTTTGCAGTCTAGACAGTGTTGGCAACACCTGAAATTTAGTGCCTAATATTAGCACAACATGTCATGTAGATTTGCATAAAGATTGGCTTTAAAATAACCAGTGGAGCTTGCAAACAATTTTATTTCACTGTTGTTTATGTTTTCAGTGTTATCTGAATTTTTACCATCCTTCATCTCATTTCAACATTTAACAGTGGAAACCTAATCATGCCAAATAATTGAGATAGTAGACTCTATTGACAGTGTGGGAAACAAAATCTGTTTCATTGAAAGGGGACACCCAGTGGTTTATGATCATGTTTTATCTGAGCTATTGACACTTACTAACCAGTGTTACACAACACACGCTTAACAATCCAATGGGCCCCATGTAATTTTTTTGTTAAAAATAGCAAAGACTCTTTGGTGCTTGGGCGCTTTTTATTTCTCAACATGCTTAACAATTTGAAGGCATGCATGAGTTGGCTGATCATTTAAGTGGAGAAAAATGAAGATAAACAAACAAACAACTGTTTTGTGAAAAACCAATGCATGTTTTGTGAAGGATGGAATCTCCTATTTGATTGAGATCAGTGATGCCATTACTAATGATACACTACTTCATCATAAATTAGCAAGGAATGGATAAAAATAAGCTTGATTTACAGTTTCATATAATGGAGCACTTTTATGGTGCACAAGAAGTCATGGTGGAAAAATGCGGTACATGATGTGATAATTATCACATCACATACCACACATTCTCTCCCAATATTTAGTAATGCATTCTTCGAGCTATTTTCCATGGAGTCTAATAATATTTATGAATGGGAATAAGATCAAACTGAGAACTATGAAGATCATTCTTATCCCAGCATATAAGGAATTAAAGGCAGAGCTGACGGAACAGTTGGGACCAAATACAAGCTTTCAGCTTTTCAGAAACTTTGACAGAGTCTGATAGATACATGAACAAGAATCAGCTGATCATGACATTGTGAAGCATTCGTTTTACATTACACAATTCAAAATGCAAGGAATTAACACGCAGTTGTTTGTAAAAATATGCTTTTATAATTTTATATATAAAAGTTAAAAAATCTGCACATCGTTTGAGGAATTTGTTGAAGCTGTAGATGACAAACCCAGAGTGGAGCAGATTGACTTTTATTTAGATTCCCTCCTTAGCCAGTGGATTTCACTAAAATTTTAATAAAAAAGGTACTTACGAATAACAACAAATGACACTTATATAGTGCCTTTCACATCAGGATGACGTCCCGAGGTGCTGGACACTCAAGCGTTGGAATCAAACATGGGATTGGATTAGAAATGGAGAGAAAGGGGCCTGGGGGGTGGGAGGATAGCTGAAGGCACGGTCAAAGAGGAAGGTCTAAGACAGGCCTTCAAGGAAACAAAAGAAGGGGGTGAGGCGAAGGGATGGAGTTCCAAAGGATGGGGGCAGAAAAGCTCAAGGCCCGACCATTGATGATGGGGTGTCAGGGCAGGGGTCATGGAGCAGGCCAGTGCCCGCCGAGCAGAGGGAGCGGGAAGGTTGGTAAAATGTTAGTGTTACAACAACAACAACTTGGATTTATATAGCGCCCCCCACGCCGGATGGTGTCTCAGAGCGCTTCACAGTAACGGATCCTGGGACCGAGCTGGGGGGAGGGGGAGGAAGGTGACCAAAGGCGCGGTCGAAGAGAAAGGTCTTCAGCCGAGACCTGAAAATAGAAAGAGAGGGAGCGAGGCGAAGGGAGTAAGGAAGGGAATTCCAGAGCCTCGGGGCATAGTGGCTGAAGGCACGGCCGCCAAGGGTGAGCGGAGGACTCGGGAGACGAGAAGGAGGCCAGACCCGGAGGAACAAAGGCAACGGGTACTGTTTTGAGAAGAGAGGTCAGAGAGGTAGGGGGTGCTGAGGAATGCAGGGACTTGAATACAAGGGTGAGGATCTTGAAATTGATCCTCTCTGGGATAGGCAACCATTGCAGTCTGGCAAGGACTGGGGTGATCGGGGAGTGGAGTGCAGAAGTAGGGAGGAGAAGAAGTAGGGAGGAGCAAGAACTATAGAAAGTTACACCACAGAAGGAGGCCATACAGACTGTACTGTCTGTCTGAAAGAGAGAACTATTCTGCAACAGCTCATTTCTATAATAATATCTGCATTGACTGGGAGATTTACAAATGTTTCTGAGTTCCATGATATGAAGGAAGAACTATATGATGATGCATTTGAAGCTACTCTCTCCAGGGCAACTATAGATTATAACTAGTCTCTAGTAACTCTCTAATGTTCCTAGTTTATCTATTGATTCAAAGATGGTACAAATAACGAAGCCGATTCATTGGGGAAATCATTAACTTTCCTTGATTGACAGCCTAACCAGTCAATCCCTAATATTTGTAGCTGCATTATTGAAGCAATGGATGAGCAAAATTGAAGTTCAGAACAATTCGTTAGGATAGTTAATAACAGGAAGAGACAATGGGAGAAGATATACCTTGCATAGATCCATCTTGTTTAATGTTCTTTGAATTGTCAGGTCATTGGATTAATTTGGTTTCTATTTTACAGCCAATTTAGGAACATAATCCTATTTATACTGACAAGAAGGGAAATAATGGTCGACAGTATATCAACAGCTTCTCACTCCTTAAGTCAAGTTGTCTGACCACATGTTTTTCCATTAACTACCTCAGGGATGGTTTTAATAAACATTGAACCTTATAAAAGATAGAAATAGATACTGTGCAGTTCTAAACACAAGGCACGAATGCATGTTGTAACAGGGTGAGGTGACATTAGATACAGTATATAGTAATATTCTGGAGATATCACAATGGTAGCTCACTGCCCAGGATCAAATTGGCTTGGTTGTATTAACATGCAAACCTAGCATCCATTTGAGCAAAGGATAATCAGTATAAATGTTTCAATAATTCCCAGTGACTGGAGACATGAAAAGGGTGGGGAAGGTAAAAACCACAGTAATCCCAACTGTGAGAGTGCAACCTCAACACCAGTGTTTCTATATTTCTTAAACATTCTGTTTATTCTGGTGTTGGTTAATGTTGTGCTCATCAAAGAGGAATGTTATTGCTAGGAAGTAGAACATTTTCTCATTTGTGCATCTAAAATATTAGTATCAAGCTCAGTTGGATACCCGAGCAAAGCTCTCTCTGTTCTACCCATACAAAGCACCTCAGCATCAACATAATAAGAGGACTCATTATTACTTGTTACAGAACAATTTCCCACACCAGCCATCTAGTGGTCTCTCCGAGATTCACAATATAATGCCATCAGTGGTGAATAAAGTATAGTTTGAGGGGAGAGCCTCTGACCTCCAGGAATTGCGCTGAATCTGCCCCTAATTTTCCATTTGATCTTTACGAGTAACAGCTTGAGGTCAGTCTGACTATATCTACATCCAGTTATGGAGACTTGAAAGTGAGAAATTCATTAGGGAAATAGACCAAATTGAGCTTGGAAACAAACCACATGTTCACCAGAATGTTCAAAACTCAGTGCTTTGTTTATAAGTCTACACATATCACACAGACTTTCTTATTAAAGAATAAACTCCAGTGCATTGCTAGTGGAGCACTGCATGGTCAGAGTTTCTGTGGTTCAGATGAGCTGTTGAATGAATGAACCAAGGTCAATCACTTCATTGTTGTTTGTGGGACGTTGCTAAATGCATATTGGTTGCCATGTTCACCCCCACAATTCACACAACTTTATAGTATATCCTGGGGAATGTCTTGACAATTATATAAGACCTTTAATGTGACGTCAAACACAATGATTATTATTATATATATCTTGAAATTAGCTGCAGGATAAATTGAAATAACTCAAGAAGTGCTCTATTGATGATAAACTTGGATTGTAATAGGATTTAGAAGGGGGAAAATACAATTTTTGTCTTGATTTACTCTATGTATTATTTTAGAGGATTCAGAATTTGACAAATTATTTGAATTCAGTCTTAATTTTAAAGTCAGTTTGTAGTTCTTAAAAGAAACTTACAGAAAAACAGCTACAAATTTAAGGCTTTAATTAAAAGTAACAAGATTGGCATTACTCCATCAAAAAGTACCATGTCTTTGAGATGTCTCAAAGCGCTTCACAGAATATACTGTAAAGTGTATTTACTGTATATTTTGTGGGTGAAAAGCAGCAGCCAATTGCACACAACAGTGTCTCACAAATAGTCATGGATTGAGTGATCAAATTATTATTATTTTTTAAAATTTATTTTTTTGGAGGGATTATTAACCATTGAAAAAGCAATCCGCCAATCAACTAATAACCGGGTTCCTACTTAGTGCTAGGTAAACAGAGGTAAGTGGAGTAAAGAAACTTGCCTAAGGTTTCACCCTGGCCAGGAAATGAACCCAGGTCCTCTTGATTGCTAGGTGACTGCTCTAACCAATACATTACAGGACTCCACATTGGCTACAGAATTATACTTTACAGTATATCTTGTGAAAAGTGCTTTGTGATGTCCTCCTGACTTGAAAGGCACCAAGTTAAGTGTATTGTAATTTATTGTAAGTTGGCGATCTACTGCTTGTATTAGCCATATGTCAACTCTTTAAACATTTGAATAGCTGCTTCAGTGAAAATAATTGCATGCATTTTACATGATATAACAGCCTCAACATCTGCAGTGCTAGAAGTGTAAAAATAAACGGGTCAAGGATAGACGTATAACATATTTGACAGACTACTAAGTTTTAAGAGCGTGATGTTTTTATGTGGCAATTTAAGCTTCATAAACCGACATCATTCTGCTTGTACTGTAACCTTTTTGCTTCACTTTATTTAGACTTACAGTGCTGCGAACAGGAGAGAAAAGCCATACAGAAGACTTGACAGTTTAAGTGAGTGACCTGAAAATAATAATTGGTTTAGTCACATAAAATAAAAGAGCAACAAGTCAATCAGGTGCCATTGTCGAGTAAAATTAATAGGAGAATATTTTCTTACCTTTCTCTTCCGAAGTTTTATGGTACAATCCGCAGGATCGCAATTGGTTGTATTTTCCTGTAAATTTAAAACTGGGGGATCTTGCTTTGATACATTTGCAGGATCATTTTGACAAGGAGGATCATCCTGAGACTCTCCCACATGTTGAGTGACTTCCCCCTGAATGGCTTCATTACAACTCTCCCTTGGACATGTCTGAGCCTCAATTATCCGTTCCACAGGGGTAACCACTGACACTACCCTTACATCACTGTCAGCAGCAAGACATGAATCAACAGATGATTCCAACACATCTTTAGTGAATTCACTCTCATCTTTATCTTCTGATGCCTCATGTTTTCTTTGCTGCTGTGCAACAACCGCGGTTTGGGGAAGCACCTCTGTCGAAGCATTGATGTCTTCTACATCCAAATTCTTATCCACTCCTCTCTTTGGTAAATCCTTCATATCTATCACCTCGGAAGACTCTGTAGGCACACTCACTTTAATATCCTCCTCCTTATCCTCTTCTGGAACTAAATCATAATCAAGTTCAACGACTATTTCAAAGTTGTCTGGCATACTCCTGGCCACTGGTTTGATCTTCAGTACTGGGGTGATCTCAACAAGTGTCTGTTCTTGCCCTGAATCCAGCTCCTCGCTTGCATTTTGATCGTCCTCTGAGCTGAGATCTGCATTTTCATCAGACACATGGACCAAGGTCTCCGTACTTGCTTCCAGTGGCAGACAGCGTTCCTCGCTTTCGTGGTTATCATTCTCATCCACTTCTTTTCTATGGTCGCACAGCTTCTTCTCTTGAAAGTCAAAGGATTCGGGGTTGTGGCAACATTCTGGTAGGGAAATACTGGAAAATCGCTCCTGCTTGTCCAATTTGGATACTTCATTGCTTTCCATACTTGGGTTTAGATTATCAGCCATGAGCCCATGACAACAGACTGCACCAGAATCAACAGAATCAAATGAAAAGACAGGCCAATTAGTCACATGGTCTTCCCAGCTTCTCTTCTTATTGGCTAAAGACATGTCATCACAATTCAGTTGCTGTTTTTCCAGGCATATTACAGAGAGAGAGAAAATTGGGACGATCTCTTCACTTTTTCCACGAATAAGGGCACTTGGCAGTTTCCGTTCCTCAATACCATGTTAACAGCATCTGCGTTGCAAAGCAAAGAAGAAATGAAGAAGCTTGACCAAAAATTACATCTTACACAGAAAAAGGCACTATCTCTGTGCCAAAATCTGATTCATCACAGCAATGCTGCGAATGTCGCTTTCTTTTTTTTTAAAACTTAGATGAACGCCAGAACATTTCAATGGAATACAAAGTATGCTGACATTTAAATATTCTGAAATGTGAAAATGAAACTGAGCCACACACACAGACCTAGGTTGGTCCCAGGTTCAATTTCTGTCTGTGGTCTGTACCGAGTTAGCTGAGCTCAGTTAGCTTGGCAATTGGGTTACTGCAACGAGTACAATAGAAATTTACAGCACAGAAGGCCATCTTGTCTATTGTGTAGAGAGGAGATGCATTGAAGAACATACTTGTGTAATTTACAGTTATTCCTTAAGAGGAAATAACAGATATGGATTTGATGGAGCCTCGAAGATTATTTATTGGGAGGGTGGGGTGGAGGAAGGAATGGTTGCATCAAATTCTGTTTGTTTGGCAGAAACTACTAGTAAATGACTACTATAGTGTAGAAGTGGTGCTACTGCATAATCTATTGTCATAGAATTATACAGCACAGAAGGAGGCCATTCAGCCCATCATGTCTGTCCCGGCTCTTTGAAAAGAGCTAACCAAATCAATCCCATTCCCCCACTCTCTCCGCATAGGCCTACAAACTTGTCCTCCTCAAATAATTATCCACTTTCCTCTTAAAAGTTGTTATCGAATTGGCTTCCACCACCCTTTCAGGCAATACATTCCAGATCCGAACAACTCACTGTGTGAAAAAATTTCTATTCACCTCCCCTCTGTTTCTTTTAACAACTATGTTAAACTAGTGACTTTGGGTTACCCAGTGGAAATAGTTTCTCCTTGCTCACCTTATCGAATCCCCTCATAATTTTGAAAACTTCTATTAAGTCTCCACTTAACCTTCTCTGCTTCAAGGAAGCTTCTCTAGCCTCTCCTGATAACTGAAGTCCCTCATTCCTGGTACCATCCTGGTAAATCTCCTTTGCACCCTCTCCAATACCTTGACATCCTTCCTAAAGTGTGGTGCCCAGAACTGAACACAGTACTCTAGCTGAGGCCTAACCAATGTTTTATAAAGGTTCATCATAACTTCCTGACTTTTGTAATCTATGCCCCTATTTATAAAGCCTAGTATCCCATATACTTTTTGTTTACAGCTTTATCTACCTGTCCTGCCACCTTCAAAGATTTACTTATATGAACCCCCAGGTCTCTGTTCCTTCACCCCCTTTCTTTCATGAACTATGAACCATCTACATTTCATATAAGTTGTAGTTTTAAGTTTTTTTGAATTTTTTTATTGAGTTAAAATCCCTTACAAAAGCAAACAAACCAAAATGGAACCAGCATATATAGTGAATTACGGGGAGATGGAGGTTCACAGGGAGTATGCATACAAGTCACGGACTAGTTGAGCCCGTTTCTGCGCTGTAACATTTTATGTAATTATATGTACTCATGTCATCATTTATAGGCATTATGATGGTCAGTTTGAATTCTTGAGAATAAGCTTCCAGTATAAATTAATAATTCATTAAATAAACTTTCACCATACAAGATAATTATATGCTAAACCACTACTGTTTATACAGAACCCAGAATGCTAATTACGAGAAAAATGTGGCATCAATGGTGACAACTATCACATTAGATGGTAAATATCACATCATATGCCACATTGTCCATTTCCATTTCTTTTATCTCATCCAATTGGGACATCATTGAATCCCACCCATCAAGAACAGAAATGTTTTCGGAATTCTAGAAGTAACAGCTGTAAACATGTTTAGAAGAAGTGAATCCTGTTGTCCTTCAGAGACTTGCTATGCAAGTGAACAAGATTGATGACAAATGTATCAATGATTGAATAAGTGAATCCTTAGTGTCTAAATGAAAGCTTAAACTATTATTCCAGTTAGCATCTCATCAAATGCTAAATCCTAAAAGGTCAGTCATTTCCTGCACAAGATTTTCTGCAATGGAATATTCCTGGAAGACTCACAAAACATGCATTTGTTAGATTTATCCTGGAATTTGGTAGATTCAAAGATTGAAAAAAAGTTTAATAGCACCAGCACTTCCTACTTCATATTTTCATCACAGTGGGGTCTAAATTATAATATAACTTCACGTCTTTCCTTAATAAGGAATCCAATGATCTAACTAGCGAGCCCTTTCCAATAATCGGAACTATGTCATGCTGATTCGAAGAAATTCTATTTCAATGTGACCCACCTATGGAGTAGGATTTCCATGGGCCAATGCCTCCCATTATGAAATACCACAATCTATATCCTTTTTATTCATAATAATTTGCTGTGCATAACTTCCATGGTTTATAAGGTATGTGATAATAATAATGATATAAAGACTGATGTCTAACATATTTATACACCAAGAAAAGAAAGAGGAAGAGGCCTGATTGAAATCGAAGCATCTTATAAATGAACAAATGTAGGTTTAGTTTGAATATATCAGAAGAAACTCCAATGATTGTATCAAAATGATTGAAAAACATGAAAACAATAAAAATATTTTTTTTCTCATTAAAGAAGCAATCAAGATCAAACAAGACCATGACATCCATCGAAAAGATATAGAAAGTAGCTCATCTGAACCAACAAAATGTATACGTGGAATGACAATTGCCCTTAAAAAGAAAGTGATATCCTGTAGAAAAATGGGAGAAGAAAATATATATTTTTTTGGTCAGGCGTTTTTTTCGTTTTTTTTGTCTGACCCATGTGAACACCCACCATGGTACTTAAGAGTATACAAACCAAACTAGGACTTCCATCCATCCCACTTATACATGAAAATTCCAGAGACAGATTTTTGGAAGGGAATGCGCAATTCCTCCCTGGAGGGACACATCCTGCTTACCTAATTCCAGAAAGTATTAGGTGCAGGTTGGTAAGAGCCAAAGCTTGGGGACTCCTGAGTGTGCACTGGGGTACAAGTAGAGTCTAACCAGCTAAAACCGCACAGCTTGCCAATGATATTGCTGTCTGGCAAGCTTTCCCGTTAGGACCATCCTACCCATTAGGGCTTTAGGTTGCAGGGTTAACAGGAGCTGAGTGGGATGACTCCCTACCCCAAGTGACTGGTCTGCCCTTCCAGGTCCTGCCAATGAAATTGCTGTCATCAGAAGTTTTCTGGAATACTGTGGAACCACTTGGCTCAGGAATTGGATTACCAAGACTGCCACAGAGGGCTGGCTCGATTCTGACATTCTATTGCCAAGCATCTCACCTTGGAGCCAGTTCAGCTCCAAGGAGACCCTGCTTAAGAAGAAACGTGCATGGTCAATTTCCAAGAGAAATTAAAGAACAAGGCCTAGATATGAATCAAAGCTACAATTTGTACTGATGGGGATCTGAGAGCCGAAACAAGCTCTCCTCATATCAGCACAAACCAATCTATTACTACCCGTTATTATGAAAATAAGATCTTAAAAGAAACATTGATCCAAAATCTCAAATATGTCATCAAACACAAGAAACGTTCTACCACATATTGTCATCAAATCTGGCCCTAACACAATCAGAGTACCTGATTGAACACAACAATGTAGCTAAATATATTCATTGGACAATTTGTAAACATTTTTATATTGGTGTAAAGACGAAATGGTATGAACATCAACCAACAAAATACCTGGTAAACAAAATATCAACCTCCTGCAAAAAGTAGCTAAGGAAGTTTGAAATTACTAAGAAAGAAAAGTACTACTAAGAAAAATAACATCCATCCATATGTAACATGGCAGTGATTTTGATCTGGATGATAATTGTTATGTTAATTATCACGGTGATATCACATCCACAGAAAATTCTGCTCTGTTATTGTCTAGCCATACTTCCTCCCAGCTCTCACTCTAATTCCATCATAGTGGACAATCCTGGGCCCAAAGCCAGCCCACTGTCATCATTCAACTTGTCATCATTCAACTTATCAGCCTATGGATGGAATAGTGCAAAACAAAAAACTGATAATTCAAATATTATAGGCTGCTATTTCACCTCAAGGCTGTAAAACCCTATAGTTTTTAATCTCATGATTAACCACATTACTTTTTTAATAAAAATTCTTGCATTTATATACAGTAGCACCTTTTCACATCAAAACAACTCATAGCACTTTACAGTGTTTTCACAAAGTTTTCAGTTAAATGTAGTGACTGTGTATTCTTTGGCAAGCCCAAACCACTGATACCTAGCCATGGGGTGTCTACTGTAAAACTTTTTTATAGCCCTGAAATTGGTGACCAGTAACTTTTATCATTGGCAAATGACTCTCAGCATCTTAACAGCAACATCAGAAGAACAATCACTGTGGCAATAAACATTTCCATATCCCCAGAGCTATTATCTTTGTGACCTTTCTAAGTGAAATTGATGAGCCTGTGCCAAATTATGAGTAGTTTTGTAATATGAATTCACCCACTCAGAATTGATTTCACACGGGATTATTATTGCTAGTAGAGAGAGGATCCCATCATACTATTCATCCAGTTCACATCCCAGTGGCAAACATGCAGTAAACTAACCCCAACCTCTCAGTTTGTAGGATGAATATTGACTATTATTACAGAGAAGAAATACAAGAACAGACTGGAGACTGCACTGCCTACGAATAACTATTAAAACTGACTACAGTTAGTGTAAAATAATCTAATAAGGATGCTCTTTGTGTTTGTTAACTGCAGCACATAAAATGCCTTTCAAATTTAGTGTTACAACATCTGCAGAGTAGCAGTCTGGTTTTCACATTAAACCAGAAGCAGACATGGATTAAAGAATACCTGAAAATAAAGTATCAAATTGTGGGTATTTATCAAATTGAGTGGGTCATATATGTGAGAGGCAGATCTCAAGGATGGAGTTCTAGCTGGGTGTATACAGCCTTGCACTATTGAACTATGAACTGAAGAGCCGGTAATGGATGTG